ATGTGTTTGGAGTAGGTACTTCCATGGTAGCGCAATAACAGTGAGTCATTGCGTAGAGAATGCCGAAGCAACGAACGTGTCTCCCCGGAGATAAACTACAGAGAGTTTGTTGCGCCCATTACATGACAACATGACTGTCGAAATCGTAGCAACGAACTGTCGAGTAACAACGGATGAGACGAGACACATAACCGGTGTAATCTATAAAGAGCATACCCAAAGCAACAGATTGCCGAACACGTGAGATCGAACCTTAGCAAGGGGTGTCCTCTATTGAGTCTGCGTGCGCCCTATATAAAGGGCCTGGCCCCTCGGACAGAAGATTAGAGTATTAGAGTATTGGAGTATTGAGAAGAGACAGTCTTTGGATAGCCGCCGCTGAAGACAGTCAAGATCCAACCACGGCCAAGGATAGTTGAGACGTCGCATTGAAGTATTGGGCCAGAAGTCAAGTGATACTGCAAGTGGTAATAACTGTAAGGTGTGTAAGTGTGAGTGTCCAATAAAGATTCGCTAAATCCGAGACCCACGTCAAGTTATTTGTCGCGTGACATTATAGTACATCATGTGTCTCAAAAAATAAAATTTTCACACTAGTGAAGCCAATATCACACACTGCTAGAGGGAACAACACACAAGCAAGGGGCATATTAGGCCATGCCATAGCTCAAGCGGTGAGTCGCTGGCTTCCCACCGTGGCGGTCCCGGTTCGAGCCCGGGTCTGGTCAAGTGGGATTAGTGGTGGACAAAGTGGCGCTGAGACAGGTTTTCTCCATGTACTTCAGTTTCCCCTGCCAATCTTCATTCCACTAATTGCTCCACAATCACCCTCACCTATCATCTGGGGTTGGTACAATAGGCCAGAAGTGGCCGCAGTACAAGGGACTTAGTCCCACCCCACTAGCAAAAAAAAATAAAAATAGTGGCATATTACAGACTGCAGACACAGCAAAACAACGGGCTAACAAACAGAAAAACAAGCTGCAGAAACGAACCTTCTGGAATAATTACATAGCTCCAAACAAGTGGATGATGCCCCTTATGAGGTGGAATAGGATTTTACAAAAAAAAAATTATACAAAATTTGAATGGATTTTAATTAATTATTTATGTTACTTTTAATTGGACGGCAACACTCCGTTTTAGTGCACATCAGAGCAGCGTAACAGTTTGGATGCATTAAAGACACCTGACGATGGCCATCTATGGCCGAAACATGTTGTGTTCAGTGTTAAATGCTGAATAAACAATTGTTGCATTGTTCGCGAACTGTGCATACATAGACGTTTATCCAGGAATCTTCCTGGGGATTAAGGGCAGCCAGCACATAAGGCTGATAAACTCAAAGCCATCTATCAGCCAAATGTCTACGAAAATGTGGGACCCTTGATATCAAACAACCCCATGGGATGTGGAGGCCCACGTCCTGTTACAAAGATAGCTTTACTTTGTTACTGTCATTCAAAAATATTTTAAGAATGGCACATTTTTTCAAGAATTTGTTGCTGGTATCTATCATGGCCACAAAAGGGCTGTTTTACTGCTGATAAAGATGATTATGGTTTTGCCCTGCATTCTGATGCAAGAAAAAAAACAATAAAAAATCGTGATTTTAGTCCACAGGTGATCTATACGAACCGAGCAACCGCCGCTTGTCGGCAAAGTTTAGTGCCAACTTTTGAGGATTGAGGTGTCGCGTAGTCAGCGCAACGAATCCCCACGGCTCTTAATTTCGGTTTTATAGACCAGAGCAGCTACTTTCTTGAAACAGCTCCTCAATTATCAACACGAGGCTGAGTGGACCCCGTTCCAGACCCACTACTCCTCAGAAAAAATCTGGTAGCACCAGGAATCGAATCCGGAGCTCTGGATCTGTAACCAGGAATGCTGACCACTAGACCACAGCGGCGGTCATTCTGATGCAAGTAAGGAACATATATTTAGATGAATCTCCAATTACTCACACTTCTACACTAACCTCCTTACTAGAATCCAATCAAACACCTGAATCTTTCTTTATAATATTAATATTTACACTTCTCATGTGGTACTTATGGATTTAACCAAATGCATACTTCAGTTCCTCATAGGAGCATATTATGAAATGCACTGTGTTGTATGTCTCAGATAAATTAAAACATGTTATTATTACTAATGCTGTTTTCTTGTTTACCTCCAGAAATCTGGCAAATGCAGGTTTTGCTTGGCATGTGGTCTTGATTGCTTCTTTTGCTGTCTTAAAGTTGTTGAGGAATAATGTGTATGTTTCAATTACAGCCTGTTTTGTAAACTGGAAATACAAAAAAAAAAGTGAATTAGTAGAAATATCTTCAAAACAGGATTAAATTCATCATCCTTCTTACTGCTAATCCTGTGTATGCTTCTTGCTTTAAAAGGATCCATCCTGAGATAACCCTAAAGCCATTATGGTGAAATATGATGAAGTCTGACTTAATCTACATGTAAAGTAAGAGCTACAGAGGATCAATATAGACCCAAATTCCAGAAGACAGCAATGTTCATACTAACCATTGTGAAAAACTCAAATATCACGCTAATAAGGTAAATTTTAATTATGTAAAAATGAATGTGAAGAACTCCTACTTACCACAGTAAAAGTGTGCCAAGATGACAAGTGAAGAAAAATTTCTTTCACATACTAAAATTTCTCAGTAAGAAAGTGAAGACAGTGTCCTCCTTCTCTCAGTATACTTGTCAAAATACTTTCTACTAATAAATAAAATTCACAGTTTCTCAACTATCCTAACATAATATTCCAAAATAAAGGTTCAGAAATAGCCATCATTGTATAAATTGCATCCTTTCACTTTAAATTTGATGCTTATTAACCTAAATATTTAACACATCAATAAAGCAAAAAACATTTTACTCACCACATCCAAAAAAACGTCTCCAACTTTCTGTTTGATGTCCCAGTGATCAAGCCTCTTCCGCAGCTCCTCAAGGAACACCTCATGATGCGCAAGAATTGCAGGGATCTGCAACAGGGAATTACAAACAGGAATTCTATGCAATACACATTGGCATGCCACATTTTAGGTTTCCCAAGGATCATAAATGGTAGGCACTAAAGAGGAAAATTATATCCTTTGAACAGTAATAATTTCCTTCTTCACTTGATCAGTGAATCCAGTCCACAATGTACTTCTTGAAGATCCATCATACTAATATAAATGGCAAAGCTAAAGTTCTCTCTGTATTATAGCGTTAAGCCATAAAGACGTACTGGAGAACTGAAGATACAGCTCTAGGTAATATTAAACTCAGCACTAAATGGAACTGAGTAGTCAGCTTCATGCTTCAGCTGCTCTGTCCCAGAGGAAGCTGTCCCAGTACTTATTGCACAGGAGACTATGCAGGCCCCAGAACAGTTGAATGAGCTGGATAAGAGAAAGATTCTTGCTGATGCCAAAAATCGAACCCCAATCAGCCAGCACGTAGCCAGACATGAATTCCTCATTAAGTCATGTTTTGGAGGAATGTATGGAAGGGGCAAATCATATTTCTGTTGTCCCAATATTTTACACGAACAGAGTATCAAAATGCTTGATATATGTCATACCCACCTCAAATTTCTTGCTTTAATCCCTTGAATAACATATGTGGAAAATAAAAATTACAAACATCTTCATTACATGCTATCTAAATTTCTCAGAATGAAATTTCCTTATTGAAGATACAGTAGACATTCCTCTAAATTAAGGACAAAGCTGTGATAAAATGGAACATGAACAAAATCCACTATGCCTTATAATTTATGTTACATAACCGTTCTTGTTTATAACCTTGAGCTTGCTCAGAAATACCAAGCATGCTTAGCCTGATTATATAAATGATATCAGGTTACCTGATAAAACATGGCATCAACCACTGATGCATCTACTAGGCCGGCATTTTCAGGGCTTTTCAAGGGCTGCAAATATTTCTGAAACACAAACAAAGGAATATACGTCCATCTGCTGCAGAAATTAACTCAGTAATTACAGAAGGCCGCATTATGATTTCCAAACGACATCTTCATGATTCTGCATTCCCCACTGGTTTCAATGTTCACGCAATCGGCAGTATATAAGACACTTCTGAGAGGCATGAGTTACGTTTCCTTTTATTTCATTAAATATCTGTAAGATGACAATGTTTTGGATAACATTTATAGATATCAGTATCTATGGCGGATGAACATAACTTTAGCGGATTGGGGGTGTCACGTGGTCAGCGCAACGAATCCCCACGGCAGTTAATTTCGGTTTTCCAGACCGGGGTCTCTATTTCCTTGAAATGGTTCCTCAATTATCCTCACGAGGCTGAGTGGACCCCCTTCCAGACCCACTAATCAGAAAATGTAGTAGCGCTGGGAATCGAACCCGGACCTTTGCACCAACTTCGGCGACAAGCGGTGGTCGCTCAGTCGGGTCGGTACAGTTCGCTTGCGGACTAAAACTACGGAGTTGTTTTTTTTTTCTTTTGATAGATGAACAAGCAGCAATGAGTATTCGGGCTTATGAAAGGTCCAGGAAAAGCGAAGGTAAAATTCTGCCTTAGACCTGTAATGAAATATTACTATCAATGTGAAACTGTTATAAATAAACTCTATCAAACATAATAAAACATAATTCTGAAAGACATATACATTTTTATTAAAATATTGCACTTGACAGGATAACAATATGCATTAGACAGTGCTGCTACCCAGAGGAAACGTTTACAGCAAACTGATTTTAAAAACAAACTTCATGAAAAACATTCATGACTTTTTTCTTGCACGGGTAACACAGAACCACTCTGGTCATTGTCCGGTTCACCGTTAAACAACACATATATTTTTCAGTCAAAATCTGACCAATTGTAACAGTCAATGGTTCAGTAATTCACCCCTCGGACACAAAATAAACATTTACAAACACTTTTTAAAACCAGTCTGTAACCTTTTAATCTCAAGATATGAAACAGTCAATTATTTTATATTTGATTTTATTCTTGGTTTATTTAACGATACTCTTAATTGCTAGGATTATACTGCGTCAGATGGTGTGAATAATCGATTTATTTCTGAAGGTGTTATCCAGTGGCGGCCGCGTATGCTCGATTATTAAAAATCTGTTGCCTATCAGCGAATGTTGTTTCGTTGTTTGTTTCGAGGTCGTTACCAAGTAACGGATCTACACGTACATTTAAAATAAAAGCATCAAAAGGGACTCGATTCGAGAAGGATTCGATACTGTAACCACCTACACACGACCCAAGCATGACAACCCATGAGATAAATTATATCATAGAACTACATTTGAATTGTAAACTTACACTACCTAAATACGTTCAGCAGAAACGATGTTAAGATTTGTAGGACTAGAAACATGTGCTACAAGTATATGAAAGTTGTGGCCTGGAATCCTAACTGTTTAATTAGAAGACGTAGTTGTTTCTGTGCAGAAGGCCAATTTAAGCTTCTCACAAAATCAAGAAACACGAACTGAAGATCAGCAACACTCACACGTGTTTCATTTTCCATTCTGACACAACGTTCTGCAAACATTACGAAGCCCTGGAGAGTGGCTTTAAAAGGGAC